GTGTTTATGGGCCATTTATGTTTCTTTTGTGAAATTTTTATTTATTTCTTTTTTCTATTGGGTTGACTTTTTTTATTGATTCTTAGGAGTTCTTTGTGTGTTCTTAATACTAGTCCTTTGTTGTTTGTATATATTGAAAACATTTTCATTCACTTTATGTAGTCCTTTGATGAACAAAGCTTTTAATTTTAAAGTAGTTAAATTTATGTCTTTTCATTTTTGGGGGTCTTCATAAAGAAATCCTTCTCTTTCCCAAGGTTATGATGATATTCTCTTACGTTGTCTTCTAAAAATGTAATAGTTCTGCACTTCACATTTAGGCCTTTAATCCTCCTGAAATTTTCTTTTTTTTTTTTGATATGATATGAATTGATCTAATTTCATTTTTTTTCCCAAATGGTTACCCAGTTATCCATTTATTGAAAACTCCATCCTTTCTTCACTGATTTGCAGTACCACCTCTGTCACATTTCAGGTGTCCAAAGATATGTGTGGCTCTGCTTCCAGACTCTCTACTCTGGTCTGTTTGTTTATCCCTGCTCTGATATCATACTGTTCTGATTATTATTGCTCTATGATAAGTCTTGATATCTTGATAGTGCAAGTCCCTCCACTTTGTTCTTTTTAAAGAACATCTTGGCCCTTTGCCTTTCTATTTAAATTTTAGAATCAGCCTGTCAGTTATACACCCCCCACCCTGAGAAAGAATGAAGGAAAAAGAGAAAGAAAATAACCTGTTGAGATTTTGATATGAAACTACTTTGAATCCATAGATTAGTTTGAAAGAACTGATAATCTTTACAATGTTATGTTTCAATAAATGAGCGTTTGTGTTCTTTATTATTTTTAAATAAAGTTTTATAATTTTCCACTTAATAGGACTTGCTATAGTTTGATAGATTTATTCCCAGGACTTTATAATTTTGAAGCATTATAAATAAAATTGTTAAAAAATTTTTTCATTTGGTGTATAACAAAGGCAATTTTTAAATAGATTTGTGTGCTGCAACCTTACTAAACTCTCTCATTCTAATAATAGACCGTTAGATTCCTTAGGATATTCTATATACATAGTCAATCATCTGAGAAGAAAGTTTTGGTTTTTTTTCCCCAGCGTATGTGTTTTCTTTTCTTGCCTTGTTTTTCTGGCTCACTCTTCCAGTAGCTGGCACTCTTATCTTGTTCTTAATCTTAAAGGGAATGCCTTTAATGTTACTCTGCATCAAGTTAGGGAAGTTTCTTTCTATTTCCATGCCTAGAATTTTTATCATAAGTATATTTTCAATTTTATCTAAGGGTTTTCTGCATCCTTTGAGATGACTGTATAATTTTTCCCCCTTTAATGAATGTGATGAATCATATTAATTAATTTTTTTAGCCCCAAACCAACCTTGCATTCCTGGAATAAAACCATCTTAGTCATAATATTATATCTTATTAGATTATTTTTGCTGTTATTATTTAGGATATTGTCATGTATGTTTCATGAGTAAAACTGGCTTGTATTTTTTTTCTTTTTCATACTCGTCTTTGTCAGGTTTTGGTATCAAGGTTATGCTGGCCTCATAAAATGAGTTAGGAAGTGTTTCCTTCTCCCTTCTCCCCACCCTGGAAAAGTTTTGTAAGATTGGAATTATTTGTGTCTTGGATTTTTAGAAGCAAACAGAGTAAAATTGTCTAGGCTTTCATTTTCTTTTTGGGAAGATTTTTACCTACTAATTCAGTTTCTTGGAATGCTGTGGGACTCTTTGGATTTTCTATTTCTTCTTGAGTCGGTCTTGATAAGTGATATTTTCTAGAGAGTTATCCATTTCTAAGTCTTAACTTCATTGGCATGAATTTTATTGGTTCACGATATCCTCTTTTTAGTATCTGCAGCATTTTTGATTATGCCTTTTCTGTTATCCAGTTACTTGCTCCTTCTCTTTTATTTTCTTGTTGCATCTTACCAGAAATTTGTAAGTTATATGATTTTTTTGAAAGAACCAAGTTGGTGTTTCTATAATGTTTTTTTCCTATTTTATTAAAGTTTGGTCTTACCTTTATTATTGCCTTTCCTCTCTTCTCTTTGGGTTAATTTCTTTCTCTGTACTTGGTCCTTATCTTTTTTGTACCACGTGACAGTACTAAACTACCCCATCCTTGTAGCTTTCTCTTCCCTGGCTCCTGAGGCACCCTAGTCTTGAGGGATATTTTTTCTACTTTTCTAACTGCTTCCTCTCTGGCTTTCTTTCTCTTTGTATCTCCTAATGTAGGTGCCCTCTTATCTGCAACCTTCTTTTCTCTATATCCATTCTTAATTGATAGACATTTTTACTCTCCTAATTTCAACCATCATTTTTCTGTGAATGATTAGACAGAATCAAGGGGAACCCACCCCTTGTCTTGGCTCTTCCACTAACTGGCTGTGACGTCTTGAGCAATTCACTTAAGATTCCTTAATTAGGCCAGCCCGGTGGCGCAAGCGGTTAAGTGCGTGCACTCCGCTACAGCGGCCCGGGGTTCGCCAGTTCGGATCCCGGGCACACACCGATGCAGTGCTTGGCAGGCCATGCTGTGGCGGCATCCCATGTAAAGTGGAGGAAAATGGGCATGGATGTTAGCCCAGGGCCAGTCTTCCTCAGCAAAAAAAAAAAGAGGATTAGCAGATGTTAGCACAGGGCTGATCTCCTCACACACACAAAAAAAAGGTTCCTTTATCTCTGTTTCTTCATCACTAAGATAAGGAGGCTGAATACGAGATCTCTGAGGTTCACCTCGCTAATACTGCTATTCTAGTGACAACCTTATAGAATCTGTAGCTCTGGCCTCTGTCCTTTCTAAATACCTTCTGGATCACTTTTCTTAGATGTTTTTTTAGGGTTTCTGGAACTTGTATCTTACATTAATTTTCTTACATAATTCACTTTCTCCCCAACCTGTTAATTCCCTGATTCCTCATTTGGATGTTTCTATTTTCCCAGGCACGCATTTGGTTTTGGCTCCCAACATCCCTGTCTCCCCATACTGTCTTCATACTCAAGTCTGATTAGGGGGCGTGTGTGTATCTGTTCCACTCTCCTTTCCTTTTAGTCCAGTTAGGTCTGTATGTTTTACAAGAAAGATTTCTATGTAATACCTACTTTCTCCCACCCTCACTCCTCAGGAGCCTCAGCACCTTATTAAAAAAAATACCAGCCTTTGCATCTTAAATCTCTGTTTATCTGAGTTGTTGTCTAAGAGTGTTCTTTTTACCTTGCTAGCTTTGGATATCATACCTTTATGCCATTTCCCCCAAGAAGCAGAGCCAGGGCACTTAAACAGTGTTACCTAAAGGCTATTGAGTAATCTCTGTACCAGGGATTCCAGAAATCAGTCAGTCTTGTGTTATATAGTGCTTTGTGATTTACAAGGGGCTTATTGTCATTTTATGGGAAATTGAAAGTGGAACCAGTGTGTAGAATTTTCGTGGTCTCCATGAGAGTGAAATATTTTGTTTTGGAAGACTTTCTAATTGGTGCTGTGTTAATCTCTGAGTGCTTGTCTCTGTTTTTCAAAATCTCATCTGCTTTCAGCTTTGTTGATTTATTTAATATACCTTGAGCATATTTCTCTAATGGTGCACAATCTTAAAAGCTTAACATAAGTAATGATTTCCTGAATAGAGATAGAGATAGTAGCTAATGACAAAATGTGCAGTTTTAAAATAGTGAAACTTCTGTATGTGGCCTATGCAAGTGACCCTAAATACTTTAAAATTTATTTCATACGAGTTCCTCACTACTTGACAAAAGCATGTACTCTTTTAATTTCATTAACTCTGTTTGCCTGGGTAGTTCTCAAGTTTCCTGTTTATGGGAAACTTTAGGAAAAAACCAATCACTATAAGATTTTAGGGAGGTGAAGTACGTATATACTCCTTTTATAATTATCTCAAGGAAACCTTAACTAGCTCTTTTGAATCATGTGATCTACCTAATTATTCTTATTGAAGTGATACGTGTGCTAGAAATTGGTCAGGATATAGAATGGCGGAAGTTAGCACCCTTTTAGAAACCCTGCCTCAAGGTTCTAACTTGTACTCTCCGAACTGGTCTGCTCTGTGTGCACACAGAGGGGTGTGGAGGAGAAGATAGGGTGTTTGAGTGCAGGAAACAGAAATTCAGAACCACGTTCATGTGTCTCTGATTCTTGCAGGTTCCTTCAGTCTGTTATATTCTATTCAGTACAAAGTATTCTGATTATTTCTAAATAATAGCTGGATATAGTAGTTTGAAAACAACGTATTATATCCTTTGGAAAATATTTCTGGGTATTAGGATGGTATGTCTTTCCATAAATTAGTACTATTCTAACATCAAATCTCAGCATCAGTGGTTAAAAAGCACTAGCATAACATTTAGAAAATTATAATCATAACAGAGCCCCTGCTAATTAGATATATGCAGCAATCAATACTTTGGGATTGAAAAAATTAGTAAAACTATTTTGTTTATCATGTAATGGTTGCTTTTGCTGTCAGATCGTCATTTTTTAAAAATTTAAGTGAAATCTGTCTTGCTCTTGGCAAAATCACCAGTGAATTTCTTATTGAAAGGGGGTGAGACTTGAAGAGAGCCTTGGTCTCTCCTTGGAACTCTGTATCTACCATTCTTTACAACAGTGATGACGATAATCTCTTCCTTAAAGCCACTTTAAGTTTCATGCTTGTTCTGACCCCAGTTGCTCCAATCACTGCATTCACTTCTGAGTTCTCTAACACTGTCTTATGATTATAATTCATTATTTATATTTTTATTTCTGTTCCTTAAGGATTATCTGTATTTATGTACTGCAATCCTACTTTTAGAAGAGAAGTCATTTTACTGTATTTCCTCTTTCTTTTGCTTCTCTTCTCCTCCTTGGAGGTACTTAGAAAAGTGCTTCTACAAAAATAGGTGCCTGAGAAATGTTGAAATCTAGTGCTTTATTTCAGTTGAATTTATGTTTTTAATAGTTATATTATTTTGCTTGCTTCCTAGGCACACAAACCAATGGTTTGGACTTTCAGAAGCAGCCTGTGCCTGTCGGAGGAGCAATCTCAACAGCCCAGGCCCAGGCTTTCCTTGGGCATCTCCATCAGGTAGAATGTTCTGCTCAACCATAAGTGAGAGTAAAAAATAGAGGCATAAAATGCTAGGGCCTGGGGAATTATTTCAGCATATGGGACTTTTTAAGTCAGGTAAAGCCTGGTGCTAATGGCGTCTACCTGTGTCCTTCTGAATGGTTAGTATGGAATACTATAGTTCAGTTGACTGTATAGCTGTTGACCCTAGCCTTGTTACGAACGGAATGTGTATAACAACTGAGTTACTGATTTTGTGAGTGTGAGTCTCTGGTGGCTCACAGAAGGTAGTAAATTACAAAGTCATCCAAAACGATGTAGCCACTACTGCCTGAGACCTGCTGTGTGGGGCTCAGAGCTCATATCCCTCCTTTAAGACAGTTTCAAACCATTTTGATTTGGGCAACTACTCAGAGCCTTTTACTTGATTGTGAGCCCCCTGGTTTGGGGTTCAAAGAGATCTGTCTCAACTTTATTACCCTTATATTATGTGGATTTTTCCTGAGTCTAAAACAGGCTGTGGATTCCATTCATCCATGTTTTAGCTATAATGTTGAGGGAAAGGGAATATAAAAACAAACATTGCTCCACGAGAGTTTTGGGATATGGGAGCCACTTGAAGATGGAAAGGGAAACAGTGACAACAGTTGGGAGATAGATTATCTGAGTGTCTCAACCTCTCAATTTGTGTTCACAATTATGTGTTAGAGCAATACTTTGCACATCTTGGTGGTCTGTACCTCAGTTAAAACCTAGAATGAATTTAACGCTCAAAATGTGTCAACCAGCAATGTTAACCAGTTAGTTAGTGACTCTATTGATGTTGGTACCTGATGATATTAGTGGTGGTGGCTCAATGAAAAGCACATATGGACATAAAACTTCTCAGATTACATGTTGACATGTTAAGTTACTGTGAACTGAATATATATAATACTATTCTAGTCTTTTCATCAAATATGTCTTCAGACTACCTAAACTATACAAGAAACTCCTCTACTTGAAAACAGGTGAAATTTAGAAAACTATTCTGAAGCCCATTTATTTGTTCACAAGTTCAAAGGGGTACTAAGTAGGCAACATATAGCATCTTCTATTAGAGTGAGGCCTAGTGGACATACTTTTGCTCAGGTGCATAGCATTGTTTATATCTTTGAAGTAGAGAAACTTCTATATGAAACTTCTAGATAAAATATTAAGATGATTTAACATTTAAAATAATTTAAGAATATATAAAAATGTTATTTGCATGTTGATTTTCTTCTAAGAACTTATTCTAACCTCCAAAAAGTTTTCTGGTTTCTTAAGAGGAGTAGCGTTTTTGGTATACCAGAGTGCAGTCAATTATGTGGCAAATCTTAAGCCTCTTTATCTGGCTTAAATTTGTGATGGTCCAAACATAAAAAAAAATCCCTGCAGGTACATGGATGACATGCAATCTTCCCCGCCTCAGGTCCAGATTCCAAGATGAGTCCAACTCTTCTTGCACCAGCTCCAAGGCCTCCAGATCTAGCCACTGATTGCCAAAATCGTTGAACCTCCAATACTCCCCAAACCAAAGGGCTGGAAACCAAAGAATTTTATTTGAAACCTTGACATCATTGAATTTCCCTTGAAGATGCAAGTCCCTGCAAAATTGTTTACCATCTGAATAGACATGCAATGCCTATATAATTAACATATAATATGACACTTACCTTCTGTTTCCAGCTCCCTTATTGACCGGGTTCGCACCCTGAACCTTTCTTTACTGTAATTATAAATATGTATACACATATACAAAATAGATTATTTTAGGTCTTTTGCCCCTTAAAGTGTAAGTTCCATGAAGATGAGAACCTTTTCTTATTTACCTGTATCCTTAGCATTTACCAGAGAGCCCGAAATAATAGTAGATGTTCAATAATTATTTGTTGAATAAATGAGTAGATGAATGAATGAATGGTAAAATCTATGGGAATTTAATTAGCTCAGCCTGTACAATCTAAAGAAGAAATGATTAGCTCAACCTGTACAGTCTAAGACATTTATCATAGAGAGGGTGATTTTTGACCTAAGTTTTGAAGGATGTTGGGAGCTAGCTAAATGGAGTAGTAAAGGAATGCTCTCACTTTTTATTTTTAACTTGCTATTTTGAAAACTTTCAAATCTATAGAAAAGTTACAGCAGTAGAACAGTTTTCACTGAAAGCGCTTCACCTGGAATCACCAATTGTTACTATTTTATCATACTCGCTTTATTTTTCTGTGTGTACACTAATACAAAATATATCTGTTTTGTGTGTGTGTGTTTTTGGTGAGGAAGATTGGCCCTGAGCTAACATCTGTGCCAGTCTTCCTCTATTTTTTGTATGTGGGATGCCACCACAGCATGGCTTAGCGAGCGGTGTGTAGGTCCATGCCCGGGATCCAAACCTGCAAACCCTGGGCCACTGAAGTGGAGTGTGTGAACTTAACCGCTACACCACCAGGCCAGTCTGTTTTTTTTTAAATCATTTCAGAATAAGTTGCAGGCATTGTGTCCTTTTACCTCTAAATACTTCATCATGTTTTCCTAAAAACAGCATTCTTTTTTAAAACCACAATACAAATTTCAAATTCCAGAAATTTAGCATTGATACAATATTATTATCTAGTATATGGTCAATATTTAAATTTTTTCTGATCCACGATCCATCCCTCACCTTGCATTTAGTTGTCATGTCTATTTGGTCGTCTTTAATCCAGAACAGTTCCTCCGCCTTCTTTGTCTTTCATGATACTGACATTTCATGAAGAGGAGAGACCAGCTGTTTTATACAAGGCCCTTCAGTTTGAGTTTGATTGCTCTGTCATGATTGGATTCAAGTTACATGTTTTTGTCAGGAATACAGCAGAAGGCATGTGATACCACCTTGTCCCATTATTGTGATATTAAATGTGATTATTTGATTAAGGTAGTGTTTCAGATTTGTCCATTGTAAAGGTAGCTTTCTTCCTCCTTATAATTAATAAATAATCCATGAGGACGTACTTTGAGACTTATAAACATCCTGTTCCTCCACAGATTTTTACCCAGGAACATCATGATTTAAATAAAGTCACACAGAAACTTTATCTCCTTTAAATGTTTGTACCTGAACCTCTTCCCTCTGGCTCTTTGGCTGACTTCTTAGACTTTGGGTTTTAAGCATACTATCTTTTCAGATAGTCCTCTTTTGGTTACACTGTATCTAAAATGTCTTCTCCATAAATCTCTGGATTTTGTTTTGTTTTGGGTATTGTTTTTTAAGGATTCTTATCTTCTAACAGGACTATCAGTTTTAAATAAAGCTCTGAACTCTATACTGAGCTTCATACCAACACTTACATTTAACTCAGGATATCTTGATGCTATGTGATATATCCAAAATGGAACTCATTGTTTTCCTGTTAATGACTCTACCATTTTTCCAGTCTCCTAGATCTGAACCCTGGAATAATTCATGACTCTTTTTTTCTTCATCTATATCTAGTCAGTTGCCAGGATCCTTATGTAGTACCCTGCAATGCCTTTCATGTTTCCTACTTTTTATTCCCACTACTGCCATTCTAGTTTAGGCTTCCATTTACTCTACCCTAGTTTATATTCTCTTTCACCCTACTCAGTCTTTCTTTGTTTTTGGGACGCTGCCACTTTTGAAGAGTACAAACCAGTGGCTTTGTACAGTATTACTCAATTTGAGTTTGTCTGATATTTTACCATGATTAGATTCAGGTTACACACGTTTGATAGGAATACAACATAAGTAACGGTGTATTCTTCTTAGTGCTTCATTACCGGAAGGCACATGTGTCATTACTGGTGACTTTAACTGTGATCACTTGCCTTTCAAGTTTCCCCATTATAAAGTTACTATTTTACCCTTTGTAATTAGTAAGTATCTATGGAGAGATAGTTGAGAAAATGGAAATATTATGTTATTCCTCAAATTCCACCCATTAGTAGAGCATCCATTGATGATGCTTGCCTGAATTAGTTATTATCATGGTTGCCTTATAATGATCCTTATTTTAATATAACCATGGTTTGAACTTTCTGAATGTTTAAACTTTCTAAATGCTATGACGAACTTATTTTATGAGGCCAGCATTACCTGATACCAAAACCAGATAAGAATGCCACAACAAAAGAAAATTACAGGCCAGTATTCTTGATGAACATAGATATGAAAATCCTCAGCAAAATATTAGCAAACTGAATTCAACAGTATGTTAAAAGGATCATATACCATGATCCAGTGGGATTTATTCCATGGATGCAAGGATGGTTCAACATCTGCAAATCAGTCAGCATGATACACCATGTTAACAAAATGAAGGGTAAAAATCATATGATCATCTCAGTAGATGCAGAGAAAGCATTTGACAAAATTCAACATCCATTTATGATAAAAACTCTCAACAAAGGAGGTATATAGGGAACATATCTCAACATAATAAAGGCCATATATGACAAGCCCACAGCTAACATGATACTCAATGGTGAAAAGCTGAAAGCTTTTCCTCTAAGGTGAGGAATGAGACAAAGATGCCCACTTTTGCCACTTTTATTCAACATAGTATTGGAAGTCCTATCCGAGCAATTAGGCAAGAACAAGAAGTAAAAGGCATCCAAATTGGAAAGTAAGAAGTAAAACTGTCACTATTTGCAGATGACGTGATATTATATATAAGAAATCCTAAAGACTCCATCAAAAAGCTGTTAGAATTAATAAACAAATTCAGTAAAGTCGCAGGATACAAAATCAGTACACAAAAATCTGTTGCATTTCTATACACTAATAACGGAATATCAGAGAGAGAAATTAAGAAAACAATCCTGTTTACAATTACATCAGAAAGAATAAAATACCTAGGAATAAACTGAACCAAGGAGGTAAAAGACTTGTATACTGAAAACTGCAAGACATTAATGAAAGAAATTGAAGACGACACAAATAAATGGAAAGAGATGCTGTGCTCATGAATTGAGGAATTAATATTGTTAAAATGTCCATACTACCCAAACAATATACAGATTCAATGCAATCCCTATCAAAACTCCAATGTCATTTTTCGCAGAAGTAGAAGAAACAATACTAAAATTTGTATGGAACCATATAAGACCCTGAAGAGCCAAAGCAGTCTTGAAAAAGAAGAACAAAGCTGGAGGCATTACACTCCCTGATTTCAAACTATATTACAAAGCTATAGTAATTAAAACAGTATGATATTGGCATAAAAATAGCACATAGATCAATGAACAGAATAGAGAGCCCAAAAATAAGCCCGTGCATATATGGTCAGTTAATTTATAACAGAAGAGCCAAGAACATGTGGGGAAAGGACGGTCTCTGACAGTCTCTTTAATAAATGGTGCTGGGAAAACTGGACAGCCAAATGCAAAAGAATGAAACTGAGCCACTATCTTACACCATACACAAAAATTAACTCAAAATGGATTAAAGATTTGAATGTAAGACCTGAAACCATAAACCTCCTGGAAGAACACATAGATGGTAACCTCCTTGATGTCAGTCTTAGTAATAATTTTTTGAATCTGACACCAAAGGCAAAGCAACAAAAGCAAAAATAAACATATGGGACTACATCAAAGTTTCTGCACAGCAAAGGAAACCATCAATAAAATGAAAAGGCAACCTACTGATGGGAGAAAATATTTGCAAATCATATACCTGATAAGGGGCTAATATTCAAAATATATAAAAAAAATCATACAACTCAATAGCAGAAGAACAAACAATCCGATTAAAAAATGAGCAGAAGATCTGAATAGAAATTTTTCCAAAGAAGACATACAGATGGCCAACAGGTACATGAAAAGATGTTCTGCATCATTAATCATCAGGGAAGTGCAAAACAAAACCACAAGAGATATTACCTCACACCTGTTAGAATGGCTATTATCAAAAAGACTAGAAATAAAAAGTGTTGGCAAAGATGTGGAGAAAAGGGAACCCTTGTGCACTATTGGTGAGAATGTAAATTTGTGCAGCCACTATGAAAAACAGTGTGGAGGGTCCTCAAAAAATTAACAATGAAACTACCATATGATCCAGCTATTCCACTTCTGAGTATTTATCTGAAGAAAACGAAAACACTAACTCAAAAAGATATCTGTACCCCCATGTTCATTGCAGCATTATTTACAATAGCCAAGATATGGAAACAACCTAAGTGTCCATCAATAGATGAATGGGTAAAGAAATTGTAGTATATATTCATACAATGGAATATTATTCAGCCATAAAAAAGACTGAAATCTTGCCATTTGCGACAACATGGATGGACCTCGAGGGCATTATGCTAAGCGAAATGAGTCACACAGAGAAAGAGAAATGCTGTATGATCTCTCTTTTATGTGCAATCTAATAAATAAATAAGTAAGTAAAAGCCAAGCTCATAGATACAGAAAACAGATTGGTGGTTGCCAGAGGTGGGGGGTGGGAGGACTGGGGGAGTGAGAGAAATGTGTTAACTGTTTTTTTCTGTTTGTTTGTTTTAGTTTAAATAAATTGATTTATTTAAAAATAAATAAGTATGAGTAGCAGAGTTCCAAAAGTGGACAAAATTTTCAGCTCAGCGAGTCTCTTACACAAAGTGAGGCCCTTGATTAGGAAGGATTGCAAAATAAATATATATTATGACAGACTTTCTTGTGTGGTTTATAGGACAGATTCTTTATTTCACCCAGGAGTTTTGAGTTATGACTATAAATGTTTTAAGGATTTGACTGGGTAGGTGTGTATATATGTAAGATTTTTACTCTGCTGTATATGTGGAAATTTTGAAATTAGAATGAGTAGATAATTATGCTAATTTATAATGATAAAAATAATATATGTCAGTAGCTTGTTCTTGTGTGTTCTTTAACACAATGTGGAAGATGAATTAAGTTTTTAGAATCTAACTATCCTATGAATGCAAACAGAATGTTGTGTAAAGAATGTCTAATACAAGTGTGGCATGCCTGATGATGCTAATTTAGTGTGGGAAAACATCTTCGGAGAAGAAATGTTAACAGCATTTTCTGGTGGGAGGTGGAGGGACTGTGAGCTGGTCCATAAAGTGTTAACCCCATAAGATAAACCTCTTTGTATTCTCAGTTCTAGTTCAGTGACATACACTTAGTAGAAGCTCTTGAAATACTTGTTGATGACAACCTCTAATGATGGATGTCAACAGTATTAGACTAGAACTTCCCCTGATTACTTTACTTATAGGTCCAGCTCGCTGGAACAAGTTTACAGGCTGCTGCTCAGTCTTTAAATGTACAGGTAAGGTGGGACATGGGATTATGGGTCAATTTTTCTATTTATTTTTTCTGTGTTTTTCTAATTTTGTATAATGAGCATGCAATAATTTTATAATAGGAAATGCTTAGAGGTATGACGTTTTTAATTACTGAGTCTCATAAAGATCCAAATAATTATAATCATTGCCATTACTGAAAATCAGTTTTACATTATGTACTGTGAATGACCAAAGGTGAACAAGTCGAGTCTGCTTTCACAAATTTTATGTGTAAGTTCAGTAAAAATGTTTGTTACACAGCTATGTCACATATCTAAACACAAAGCTGAATAATCTCTTCAGTGTCCTTTTGTTTTCAAATATATTTTTATTTATCGTTGTTCATGTCTTAGAGAAACATTGCAGAGCAGAGGGAAGAGCACTGAACTGAGAGACAGAGGTCTTAGGTTTGAATTCTCCTTCTGCCACTAATTAGCTGTGTGACCTTTGGCAAATTATTTAACTTCCTGGGGCTCGTCTTCTCTTATCTGTATTTAAGTGGGGAAGTTTAGAGGATTGCCAGGGTTTGTCTCTGCTCTATAATGTTATGATTCTAAGGATTTTAATTAAACCTGTTTATTGACATTGATGGGCTTCAGTCAAAATTTTAAAACAAACTTAAATCTGGCTACTTTGTCTATGGTCTATGAACCATATTGCAAAATATGCAAAAGTTGAAGTATTATGCATTACTTCATAATATTTCCATCGACCTGCTGCTTCCTTTCATTATAGTGTTTAGGTAACTAACAGTCAAAAGAGAAGAACAGTATTCTGGAAGATTGATTTTAGTGTTGCTAATGACTAAAGACTTTGGGTTGAGCATTCCATGAAACTCAGTGGAATATGGACCTAGTAACATGTGGAAACAAGAAGAGAAAAGAAAAGGAGATAATGTGACCTTCCTTTCTGAGGGAGAGGAAGCGGCACATTGCCTTGGTTGCCATGGTAAACTTTCATCCCATAGAGAGATGTTGGCAAACAGGCTGTCTCTCCAGTGCAGAATGTTTACAGTCCTGCACTGTAATTATCTCTCAATGACTGGCAGAATTAATCAGAGCCTTTATGTTAATTAGCCTTGCTGCAGTCCCCAAAACAGGTGGTGGGAAATATGCAAATCTATGCAGAATTTAATACTCTGCATAACCAGTTTTAATTAGCATAAAATTTTCTCTCAGTGCCCTTTTTAGGAGTTTGTTCTCTTTCCATCCTGACTGCAGCGTTTTCCTTCTAAGCCTGGGTGTTACTTGATGAGAGATGCTAAATTTACAGCTCTTTAACATATTAGGTGAAAAGATCTGTGGGTCAGTAATCGATCTCTGAGATGCTACATAAAGAAGTTTCAGACTGACCGCCAAATACCCCTCCGAATGTTGGGATAGAGGGTTAATGTAGAGATGGATTGAAAGTGTGCTCTTCCCTTCCTCCTTATCTCCAGAGTTGAGGATCCGAGTTTGTGGAAAAATCTGTTGATTTGTGGAGGACCAATTATTTTTTCTTCTTAAAAATTATAATTGCAGCTTTGCTGGCATTGGAACAATAAGTCTACAAACTTAATATGTAAAATTAGGAAAATACAAAGATCTGTAAGAAATGAAAAGGGTGAAACCAGAAAACTCATGCCTGAATAAGTCCATGTTTTAAATCATTCTTAAAAAAATATGCAGTTGTAAGTACATTTCTTTTAATCAACTATTTGAAATCTTTTATTTCCACCCCCACCCCACTTCAGTCTAAGTCTAATGAAGAATCCGGGGATTCACAGCAGCCAAGCCAGCCTTCTCAGCAGCCTTCAGTGCAGGCAGCCATCCCCCAGACCCAGCTTATGCTGGCTGGAGGACAGATAACCGGGGTAAGTTTCCATTGAGAGGATCGTGACACACTTTCTCTCTGTCAGAGCTGCGGATGGCCAATATCTGATTAGAACTGTTTGCTGTAGCAGACAGTAACATGGCTATGCCTGGCACTGTTATCTTTAAGAAACTTTCCACACTGTAGACAGCTCTGAAAAAGGAATTATCTTTGTCATAGTTTTTCTTTCTTATAAAGGTATCATTTCTTACAGTTGCAGAGGCTTTGGATAAACTAAAAACTTGTTTAAACCCACATTTCAACTGTTGCTTCATCATGCAATGGAGTCATTATCCTATGGTTGAGACCGTTACATTGATGCAATTGTAGTTGTCACTTTGCACTTATGACATCACTGCAGAGTAGAAGAAGAATGGATTAGTACCTACAAAAGAAAAGCATTTTCTTTAAGTTACTGTGTAATATTCTAGAATGAAACCTCTGATCTCATATCCTGGCTCTGCAGTTTACTGTATGGGCTAGTTACTTTAGCTCCCAGTGCCTCAGTGCTCCTTCAGTTAAATGGAGATGTTAATAATACCTGTGTCACAATATTGTTATAAAGATTAAGAGTAATGATATATATAAAACTCATAGAACAGTGCTTGGCGCGTAGCATTCAATAAATGTCGTTTATTTTTATTGGTAATAAATTGGCCTATGTGAATATATAAGCTTTTAACTTTTCAGCTGTCTTTGCTTTAAAACACCATTCAAAATATTTTTCCCCTCTTGAAAATTTGTTTATTAGATTATCTTTAGGGGAGGAGGCTAGGGGAGTGGTAAGGAAGAGTTGTTATTATTCAATGCAATTCACATCAACCCACAAAATTTTTTATTTCCTTCATTTCAGTTGTGTGTTTTGGCAATGGAAGGCTTTTTTAAGAATTGTTGCAGAATTGTTTACAAAATTCTATCAGTAGAGATTAAAACATGTTTATATAATATAAAATATTTATAAACATATATCTTAAAGAGTATTAAGTTTTTGAATGGTTTGATTTTGATTCTTATGCCTCTAATGCACAAATTGTATTGGACCCTTTTAGAAGGAGGGTTGTATCACAAAGTGACTGTACATATACTTCAGAATATTACAGGATTCCTCTTGTTTGATCAGAGTATATCACCAAAAAGAAGGTAGAACACACTTATTACTTTGTGTGTTTGAAATAAGTTGCATTGTGAAAGCAACTTTATATCTGTTCTAAATGCATTTCCTGTTATACTGTTTGAGTTCTGTTTTGAGTGACTAGTGTCTACATAGTCAGAGACACTTGGGGTTCCAGGTTCCTGTGGCTGGAGCTTCTGTTAAACCTGGGCATTAGGATTTATTTGCATATAAAAAGAGCGCTGTCACCACCTGTTTCACAGAGATAATGTCTTGGAAAGGGGATGAAAAGTTGCAGAGACCCAATGCTTTCAATAACAGAAAAGACTGTTGAGGAGGGGGTTGTAGGGAGACTTGGAAAAGAAACAAATGGAGCTCATATTCTTTAGTCATATCTTAGGACATAATGGAAGTGATGGAATATGGCAGGGATTCATGCTAATGGGAAGCAGCTGGGTCTTATCAGTTCTTTCCTGGTCAGATCCAGCCTCCTTGTTCCTCATTCATCTGACTAATCATTTGCTGTTCTGTTGGGTGTAAATTTCTTTTCATATCCTGTCAGCATTGATTCTTTTTTTTCTTGCTTACTAGTTAATTACTTTTTTGCCTGAACCCTAGGGACCTGGACAAGCTTGAATGATTAAGTCCAGAGTGAGGACCGCCATTTTAATTTAAATATTCAGCTAGTGATGGTGCTTGATTACTGATGAGCGTTTTAGCCTCATGCTAACCATGTGAAATTGGGTAGCTAAGGTCTAATACCACTTGAGTTACCTACTTCAAAGCAGTTGCCTTGCGTTAGGGGCCCTTCTCCTTCACCACTTTCCGATTGTTTATCCTAATTTTGTTTAGCTTACTTTGACGCCAGCCCAGCAGCAGTTACTACTACAGCAGGCACAGGCACAGGCACAGCTGCTCGCTGCTGCAGTGCAGCAGCACTCCGCCAGCCAACAGCACAGCGCTGCTGGGGCCACCATCTCAGCCTCCGCCGCCACGCCCATGACGCAGATCCCCCTGTCTCAGCCCATACAGATAGCACAGGTGAGTGAGTAACTCTCAGAGCTGGGCAGGAAGTGAGGAATAAAATGGCAGGTTTTCTTTAATATTAAATTCACTTTCTGATTGTCAATGTGGGCCCTTAAAGGCCTGAGGAGCTCTAGTTCAGTGAGGTAAGTAAGGTACTTACCTTCCTTACCGATGAACTGGAAATAATACATTTGTTTGCTTATTTGAGTTGATATTATAAACACATAACTGATTATTTGAATAACTGACTGTTTATATTAAGTGACAATTCTTGAATAATTAGCTGGCATATTTCTGAAGCAGGGGATTACGGTATTTATTTTAATTAGCTAATTACGGCAGGCATGGGTTCTTTCATGTGCTCTGCAGTGAATGTTGCCGCCCGTGTGTGAAAGAGACGACTAGCCATCCCTGTGCTACAGAGTGATTGCCTTTGTGCAGAACTGCACTAGACTGTTGTTTGGTTTCAAGTCTCACATTTTAGGGCAAAGTATCCAGAGATAATAAAGATTTATTTAAGAGGCATAGATAATACTACCAAGGGAGAAAGGTAAATGAAATCTTTTATCTCAAAGAGAGGAAAAAATGGTATAAGTAAGTAGTCATATCAGTAAAATATATGAAGAGTTATTCTGAGTCTAGTGCTAGACACTTGTCTTTACCCCCCACCAGAGAAGACTCAGAAATAGACTTAACTGTAGCTAGATTTTGACTAAACATTTAAAAAGTACCAGTTAACTATAAGAGTAAAGCATAGATGTCAGACTAATCTTTATGACAGTTATGTACAAACTTTATCCAGGTAATGTTTTTATTTTGGCTACTTGCTTCATCATCAAATAAATATTTTTAGTGCCTAAGCTATGAGACCCTATGTTGACGTTATTCTAGTAAGATAGTATGCATGAAAGCACACTGAAATGATAAAACACTAGGCCAATATAAGGTGCTGTTGATATGTTATGGATCAGATATTTATATGCATAGCTATTTTAAAAATCTTTTACACTGATTTCTCAGTTGAATTAGACTGGTGCCAAATTTCATGAATCATTATAGATCTTTTAGTTTATCGGTGTAGATTCAGACATAGCACTCTCAACTTTTTCTTAAGAGAAGAATCAATCAAATATTTAAAAACTTAACATATTTTTTTCTCACTTAATTTTTAAAACTCCTATTGGTCCCTATGTTAAAAAGTACAGCTATAACCATTTGTTCTGAGGGAATTTTAAATAATTATTAAAAATTAGGCTTTGTGTAAATCATGACACATAAGCCCACAAAAATAGGAAGTCCTTACAGCAGCTCCAGGTGTCTTCACACGCTTCGTGGAACACACCCAGGGCACACCCTGTTTGGAAGTATGTAAGAATATGAAATATTGACTCTCCTTTGGGTGTGACAGAATTCATCATCTGGGAACCTTATGATTAAGCGAGCTTTTATTTCAGAATCTCCAATCCATGTTTGAATTCTAATTTTCAGGATCTGCAACAGCTGCAACAACTTCAGCAGCAGAATCTCAACCTGCAGCAGTTTGTGTTGGTGCATCCAACCACCAACTTGCAACCAGCGCAGTTTATCATCTCACAGACGCCCCAGGGCCAGCAGGGTGAGCTCCTCCTTAGAAGTCATTAGGGGTACACCCAGGCTGGCTATATATGTGGCATACATGTCAACTACTATCATCTTACCCTGAAACTGTACATTAGAACAATGTTTTTTATTAAATTTTATTTAACTTTAAACTCAATATTCATGTTAAGAAAAATATTCTTTTGTCATGTGTACCACATTATTGAAGGTCGTCCTTCACTGTCCTGCATCTGTTTAATCACTAAGGAGGAACCAAGAGTTTGGCCAAAAGTCTAAACGAACTCCTTCAACATGCTGAACATAAATTGGATAAATTGATTCTAGTGTTTTGATAGTTTTTCATGAGAGCTTATTCAAAGAATGTGGCCTGAGCATAGAAAGTATGTGCTTCTAACAATCATTTGTTTTCTTGTAAAGTTTGAGAAGAGGAGGATGTTATATTAGAAATTGTGTTAATTTTATGAGTTATAAAACACATCTTCAAGGCCTTTTAAATTGGTAAATATTGTTTTGTAATTTCTGTATCAAACAGGAAGTTTCAATCAGGTTTGTAAGGTTGGTTAGTGGAATCAATGTAAGAGAGTATCAGGGTACCAAGGCTTCAGCTCAAGGAACATCAGTGCATCTCTACTGATTCCTCATTATTTCTGTTTGTTAGCCTTTTTTCTTCTTGATCATTCATTCCAAAATCTTTTGTTGTGTAAATACCTATTCTGCTTAAAGGGTAGCCTACTCCTTTCATGAACTAGACAGTTTTCTGGTCCAGCATATACTGGCAGTTTCTAATGGATTCTAGGTTAAGAAGTTGAGGTTTTTGAGTTTCAGGCTGCTTCCATTTAGAATATTGCTTCATTTTCATCCATTCCTTAGTAAAATAAAGAATTGGCCAATCAGAGAGGTCATTCAGGTTACACTCAAGACATATCAGTTTTAGTTTAATGTTCCATATCTTCTTGCCCAAATCGTATTTAAGAAGATTGATTTTTAGGCAAAGACATTACGAGTTTTAAGACCAGTAAGACTATCAGAAGATCAGTTGTAAATTTTCACTTCACTTTCTTTTGCTGTATGTTCAAAGTAATCCTTAATGTTTCTGACATAACGCGTTTGTATTTTACAGGTCTCCTGCAAGCGCAAAATCTTTTAACGCAACTACCTCAGCAAAGCCAAGCCAACCTCCTACAGTCGCAGCCAAGCATCACCCTCACCTCCCAGGTCCGTCTTCCTGGGGGTTGCTTCCTCTTATCCTGTTGTTTTGAGGGACTTTTGGACTTTGTTTAATTAGAAACAAAACCCCCAGAATACCGTAATAAAAATAATCCAAATAGCTTTAGAATTGACCAAAAGTTCAAAGCTAGGCTTAACAACTTGATAAAGCAATGCTACCAAGTTGATGTAGTCTTTGAAAATCTTCAACAAGTCCCTACTTTCTTATATGTTCGTAAAGCATTACTCTGTTAGTGGCAAGTAATAATGAGTTCTGGCTGTTTGGCTGCCTCCGCTGTAGTTGGCATTAGAGATTACCACTTGAGCTAGAAACCTCGTGCCTGTGGTAGAATCCAGCATTGTCCTTTGCCCTTGCTCAGAAACTGCAAAGAACCTCTGCTCTCTGTGTCTTTTTTCCTCTCAACTCTCAAATGTTGCTTTAGCTGATTTCTACTAGAGTTTAACTGTATAAAAAGCACAAGTCTAGGCATGTAGAAGTTTAAGCTTTATACCTAGTTCTGCTTCTTATCTATCTGTGACTTTGAACATATCATTTCACCTCTCTGAACCTCCGTTTTCTCATCTGTAAATTAGGTGATTGAACTGGCTGATCCTGAATCCCCCTTCCAGCCCTGACTCTCTTTGTCTGTAGACATGGAAGTTATCACTGAATACTAACACACTGCCAGATTTGACAAAATTTAACGTCTGTTTATGATTAAAAAAAAAAAAACATGCTTGCAAACCTGGTAAAAGGCATCTACCAAAAAACCCCAACATCTTAAAGACTGAATACTTTCCCCCTGAGCTCAGAAACAAAGCAAGGATGTCCACTGTTACCACTTTTATTCAGCATTGTACTGAAGTTCTTCGGAGTGAAAAAGAAATAAAGAACAAATAGATTAGAAAGGAAGAAGTAAAACTGTTGTAATTGACTGTTTTAATTGGTAGACGACATGATTGTATATGTAGAAAATCCTAAGGAATCTACAAAAAAGCTGCTGGAATTTAATAAGTGAGTTGAGCAAGTATGTAGGATACAAAGTCAATATACAAAAATCTATACACTAACAATGATCATGTGGAAATTGAAATTAAGAAGACCAATATTTACAGTACTTAGGGATAAACTTAACAAAACATTTGTAAGACGTATACATTGAAAACTACAAAATATTGCTATTAAAGACGACCTGAATAAATGGAGAAGATATAGTGTATTTGTGAATCAGAAGACTTAGGTTGTTAAAACGTGAGTGCTCTCCAGATTCAACTGTAGATTCAACACACTCCCGATGAATACCCAGCAGGCTTTTTCTGTAGAAATTTGCATGCTGTTTCTTACATTTATATGGAATTGTAGAGGACATAGAATAGCCAAACAATTTTGAAAAGTAAGAAAGTTGAAGGCCTATCTGATGTCAAGAATTATGATAAAGCTGCAGTAATGAAGACAGTGTGATACTGGCATGTGGATAGAAATGGAACAGAATAGAAGGTCCAATAGACTCACACATACATGGCCAACTGATTTTACACAAAGGTGCCAAAGGATTTCAGTGGGAAAAGGGAAGCCTTTTCAACAAATGGTGCTGAAACAACTGGCTATCCATAGGCAAAAAAGTGAACCTTGATCCTTATTTCATACCATATACTAAGATTAATTTGAAATGGGTTGTAGACCTAAACCTATAGGAAAAAACTTAGGGAAAAATCTTTATGTCCTTGGGTAAGGTAAAGATTTCTTTTTTTTTTTTTTTGTGAGGAAGATCAGCCCTGAGCTAACATCCAATGCCAAACCTCCTCTTTTTTTTGCTGAGGAAGATTGGCCTTGGGCTAACATCCGTGCCCATCTTCCTCTACTTTATATGGGACGTTGCCACAGCATGGCTTGACACGTGGTGCATTGGCGCACGTGCAAACCCCGGGCCGCTGAAGTGGAGCGCGTGCACTTAACCGCTGCACCACTGGGCCGGCCCCTAAAGATTTCTTAAATGGGACACAAAAGTGCTACCATGAAAGGAAAAACTGATAAATATAATTTTTTAAAAATTGAAAACTTCAGGCTGGCCCCGTGGCTTAGCAGGTAAGGGCGCGTGCTCTGCTACTGGCGGCCCGGGTGCACACCAACGCACGCTTCTCCGGCCATGCTGAGGCTGCGTCCCACGTACAGCAACTAGAAGGATATGCAACTATGATGTACAACTATCTACTGGGGCTTTGGGGGAAAAAAAGGAGGAGGATTGGCAATAGATGTTAGCTCAGAGCCAGTCATCCTCAGAAAAAAAAAAAAAAAATTGAAAACTTCTGTTAAAAGAATAAAAAGAAAAGCCACAGATTGGAAGAAAATATTCTTAAAACTTGTATCTGATAAAAGACTTGTATCCAGAATATATAAAGAACTCACACAACTCAATAATAAGGTAACCTGATTTTTTTAAAAGGGAGGGATATGCAAAATATTTGAAGATACTTCACCAAAGAAGGTATGTGAATGCCCAGTAAGCATATGAAAAGATGCTCAAAATCATTAGTCATCAGGGAAATGCAAATGAAATATCACTAAAAGACTATGACAATACCAAGCGTTCATGAGACTATAAAGCAATTAGAGCTCTCATACATTGCTAGTGGAGTTGCAAAATAGTACAGACACTTTGGAAGACAGTTTGGCAGTTTCTTATAAAGTTAAATGTACGTGTACCATAGGACCTAGCAATTCTACTCCTAGAAATGAAAGCATATGTCCACACAAAGACCTCTGTATCAGTGTTCACAGCAGTTTTATTCATGATCACCCCAAACTGCAAACAACCTAAATGTCCAGCAGCTGGTAAATAGATAACATAAACTTGGGCATATCCATATGATGGAACACTACTCAGCAAAAGAAAGAAATGGACTTCTGATAGATGCAACAAACATATATGAATTTCAAAAGCATTATACTAAGTGAAAGAAGCCACATATAAAAGACTATATACTATATGGTTCAATTAATATAGCATTTTATTTTATTTTATTTTTGTGTGTGTGCGTGTAGATCAGCCCTGAGCTAACATCCATGCCAATCCTCTTTTTGCTGAGGAAGACTGGCCCTGGGCTAACAACTGTGCCCATCTTCCTCCACTTTATATGGGACGCCACCACAGCATGGCTTGACAAGTGGTGCTTCAGTGCGCACCCTGGATCTAAACCCAGGCCGCCAGCAGCAGAACGCACGCACTTAACCTCTACGCCATGGGGCCAGCCCCAGTATAGCATCTTAGAGCAGACAAAACTGTAGGGGGGGCCGGCCCCGTGGCGTAGTGGTTAAGTTCGCATGCTCTGCTTCAGCGGCCCAGAGTTCGTGGGTTCGGATCTCCGGTGCAGACCTACACACCGCTCATCAAGCCTTCTGTGGTGGCATCCCGCTATAAAAAATAGAGGAAGGTTGGCACAGATGTTAGCTTAGCGACAGTGTTCCTCAAGCAAGAAAAGGAAGATTGGCAATGGATGTTAGCTCAGGGCCAATCCTCACCAAAAAAAAAATATATATAGGTACAGAAATTATATCAGTGGTTGCCATGGGCTGGGGGCTAGGGGTAGGGATTGACTGCAAAGGGCACAAAGGAATGGTTGCAGGTAATGGAAATGTTCTGTGTCTTAATTGTGGTAACAGTTATCTGACTCTGTACAGTTGTCAAAACATATCAAACTGTACACTTTTAAATGGTGCATTTAATTGTGAATATGCCAAATATAAAAATAAGATTGGAGTTTTGGAAAAATCCTATACCAGCCGTTCCTCCCTGGCTTTCATGCTCTGCACACAGTGGCAGGGCTCTTGTAGCTTCATCCTGACTCCTGCTCACTGAATTCAACTCTACTATTTCTAGGTCTGGCCCAGTCCAGCCTGAGGTTTCTGGAGTTGGGGTAACTTATCTGTAACCACCCCACCTAAAGGTACCCAAGCTATTTTTAGTCCTTTATTATTTGAGAACAGGGCTACTTCAAGCCTGGAGATGAAGTAACAATCTGATAGTTGAGACTCACCTCTACCTATCAACCAGTTTCACTGGGAAGTGTACAGCCTCATAGGATTCTAATGTGGTTGGTGCTGTTTTTGGCTCCTCCAGAATGGTCAGGTTAAAAATTACTCAGTGTCAACATGTCATAGAGATGAACATTATTGTCTTCCTTGAAGCAGAGTGATAGAGAAGAGCTTACCCTAATTGTAGGCCTGTGTAATGCCTATTTTATAGTTTTGTGGGCCGGTTAGCTCAGTTGGAGAGAGCATATTACTAATGAGGTCCAAGTTAGGGGTATATGACCCATTTAATTTATGAGAGAAAAGCTCATAGCCATAGACTTCATCTCTAATCCTAGACTATAACCTTTCACCTGGGCTACTGTTCATGGGAATGGTCAACTGACCAATTATGATGCAGAGTCAGGGCAGCACCTCCTACTAGGGGATTCTCAGAAGGGTAGGTTCTACTCAGGGCTTGTGAGTAAAACAGAGTAGCTTTGTGTTTTTGTAATAGGGAAATTTAATATTTTCTTTTTTGAAAAAAGAAAGATTATACACTCATGTCCCCAAGTAAACTTCAGACGGATTTAAATAATTAAATATTTAAAAATACATAGAAGCAGCTAGTAAAATATTGGAAGGAATTTTATCTGAGTTAGAAATAAGTGAAAACTTGCTCAGATTTGAAGCAACAGAAGATATTAGAAATGAGGAAAAAAAAAAGTTTACCCAAATGATAATTTAAAACTTATGTACACTGAAAAATAAAAGAAAAAAAGCAGATTGTGGAGAGCACTGCACAGTGAGAACCAGTATTACGATGCGTAAAGCCGTGACGTTGTGTGTGGTGTTTGGTTACAGAAGATCCTTTGTTGGTTTGTCTCAAAGAACTAATTACAAAGGTGGAAAAAAGAAATAAATGCACAAAGTTTTCATCTTGGTATTACCCATGTTAGTGAAAACATAAATGAAAAAGTGTCTAGCAATGAAGAAATCGTTAAATAAATTATGATACTGTTGCCTCAGTCAGCCTTTGGAAATGATAATTATGAAGACTGAAACACCATAGAAAAAAAGTTGAGACATAATGTTAAAGGAGAAAAGCAGAAAGTAAAATTATGTATACCTTGATTAGAGTTAAAATTAAAAGTGTAAATCCAAAGGAGAGAGGAAACTTCTAGAGGTGATGGAAGAGTTTAGGGCATTGTCTATAGTGACAGTATATATTCATGGGTGTATACTTATCTTCAAACTCATCGAGATGTATACATTAAATATGTATAGCTGTTTTATATGTCAGTTAAAAAGGTTACTGCTTTGGTTTGTGCCTTAAGGTCCCTTCCAATGTCTTAATCACATTATAAAAATTACTCTGATCTGTGGGAGGCATGCCTTTTATTGAAGATTTGAAAACAACTTACACTTTTTGAGAGAAATATTTACAGGTTAAATAAATTTAGTGCAACAAATTAAAAACAGGATAAAGAAAAAAATGTAGATCTGTGGAAGAAAACTTGAACAAATACACAAAAATGAAGCTATTAAGTTCTTTAAACTGTAGGTGACTTACCCCTTAAAATAGTTGTAATAGTCTTATGATATTTTTATAAAATTGTGTCACAAGTTGGAGATATGATAGTGATAAACAAGACATATATGGTCCCTGCTGTTTTGAATCTTATAGTTTGTGGTATATTTATCAAATAAATTTTTTAAATGCAGTCTAATTTATTAAAAGGCATTAGATATGTATACTCAGAACATTTAAAAACCCAAATATAATGGGTTTCATTTTTGTGTATTCAAGTTTTTTCCATAGACTTACGTGTTTAGCCTTAGCTATAATTATAGTATACATAATTTCACACTCTGCTTTTCTCACTGAACCTTATGTTGTGCCTTCTACAATGTTAACGTGGTCTTCATAGTTCTCCATGAATATAGCTGTTTCCTTAAGTTGTTTACTTGCAGCACGTTCCAGTTGTAAACTTAAGTATTCTTTTGTGTTTGTTCATGTGTGGCTGTCCTTCTCTAACAGCCAGCAACCCCCACACGCACAATTGCAGCAACCCCGATTCAGACACTTCCACAGAGCCAGTCAACACCAAAGCGAATCGACACCCCCAGCTTGGAGGAGCCCAGTGACCTTGAGGAGCTTGAGCAGTTTGCCAAGACCTTCAAACAAAGACGAATCAAACTTGGATTCACTCAGGTAGGGTGAACCTACCCTTAGCTTAGTTTTCCCTCCCTGGCTGGGCCCAGATAACTTGCTTTACATGTCCAAAGAGGCTTCTAAGGAACTATGTATTGCTCCGCTTTGTTGTTGTTTAGTTTTAGACTGTAACTTTTTATTGGTCATATCTTCCATTTGTAAGTGTAGACTATTAGCGTATATATTCAGTTATAAATTTATGATTTAATGTTAGGTTAAAACCGTTCAAGTTTTTTTCAGAACAAAGGCTTCTGAAGCTATAATTATACCACTAAATGCTGAGACTTGAAAAGATGAGATGGGGGGGATAATATAACTATTGTGAGGGTTTGTTATTTGAAGAACATCTGATTCTAGACCTTAGTGCTATATATTTAAGATTGAGAGAGAAAAGAAGATTATAGGATCTTTTATAGTAGCTGAAAGGGGAAAAGTTTGAAACACTTGTTCAAAAATAGGGGATTTTTTTGAGAAGGGGACAGTCAGTGGACACGGACACACACACACACACACACACACACACACACAGAGTAAGCCCAAACTGAAACTTGTTAATTAAATAAGAATCTGTTGAAGATGAAAATCCAAATTAATCTAAATCCAAATTAGTTTTTTTAATGTCACTGAGCAGATGGCTTTTAAAGTGGAATAAGTTTAATGGTTTAAACAGGCATCTGGGTATATAGCATTTCTTTTCCAAACACTGCCACTGACTCTGATTAACATGTCACAAATAATACTTTTAAAGCAGGAAAATAATTAAACTGAATGAAATTTATGTAAAATGATATAAGACCATTAGGTGAAAAAAATTATTGAAGTATAGATTAGATTGGGTGTTTTTATGGAATCGGGAGAAATCTGATGTTTTCTTTCCAGAGAATATAGTTACTGTTTGAAATGTAAGCCACCACTTAAATACTCTCCAGATTATTCTGGGTTGTGAGGACAGTAATGCAGTATCTGCTCTGGTAAATCAAAAACAGGCATGATGTCCCTGTGTGTTTCTAAGAACAGACTTTTATTCCTTACATTTCTTTGGTAATTTATTTTTGCCCAAAGAAACTAATTATATATTAGGAACATAAAATGATCGTTACAGTAGATATAATTTTAAACCAAATGCAGGTAGATTTATGAAGAATTTCAGTTGTGAAGAAACAAATTGCAATTCAGAAAGATTTTAGTGCTTTCGGAGCATCTAAACAATATGGCTTGTTTTTAAGAAGAAAGCTAAAGATACAACTAGATTGATAGGGGTAAATTAATAAGCTTAAGTACCAGGTTGGCGTATTTAGCCGTGCTTCAGCTTTTAGGCGATTAGCACAGCATACTATTAGGTTCCCTAGGAGATTGTTGCCTCAGTGATACGCCAAGGATGTTAAGGCTTTTAAAAATCTTGAACTTTTACCCAAATAGCGGTTTGCCTTTCTGTGGCATCTGACCCAACATATTGCCAGTGTTTGTTTCTCTTTCTCTTTTATGTATAAAGGAGCTTCCCTGTGGTTTGGTGTTCTGCTTTATGGTTTTATCCTCTTATTTGGCACGACTGTTCCTTATTTTTCGAAATGACTTTGACATAGCAGTGGCGACATTTCAGAAAATTTACTGCATAGATTAAAGCACATATAACCGGTGCAGGATGAGAAAATCAGCCTTTTTTTATGTCATGTACCTCAATTGTAGTTATTCAGAGGTTGCTTTTTATCCAGTTTATTTATGTGCGTGCGCACACACACACACACACACACACACACAGGGAAAGTTAGACATTCAAGTTATTAGTTGAAACAAACAAAAAAATCCCTATTCTTGAGTAAATGTACGTTATTAGATGTTTTAAACAGTAGTTATTTTCTAATTATCTGAATAGTTATTAAAGGAGTCCTATAGATGTCATTACATAATTAGAAGGCATGCCATAGTATAACACTTTCCTCCCATGTGGTGCATTCATTATTTCCTGTTCCCATTCTTCATTCCTTTTTTCCTTTTGCTTTTTTAGAAAATGTCAAAGGGATGTAATATCCTTCAGGTTATGTCTGAGTCAACTGCTTACAACGTTCGCTTTTGTGCGGGAGAACCCAGGATGGTTTAGTGAGTTACAAAAGCACTAAACCAAGTGTATATCAAATTAATGAAAATTAGTATAGTTACTGAGGGACCTGTTGCTTTTTATTCATTTAAGTAATTTAAAGATGAAGTAAAATTGTGTTGTAAATCTCAGTTAAGTATATTTGTTGTTTATTGCCATAGTTTTAGTTAGTTGATGGCATAGCTTTATTTGCAGCTACCAACTTCAGACTTTGTTTCTTATTCTTATTATGATGTGATTTTTAATAGGTATTTTATTTTTTGTTTGCTTGTCTATATTCTTAATTTTCATAGAAAGATACTACAGAAGTTTGTGAAAAATTCTTAGCAAATTATGCAGATACAATATCAGAAAACGTTTATTGCCATCTTAACTGCTACAGCAGGTCTTAGACTCAAAGAATTGCAAGGCTCAGTTGGCCCCAGTTTTCCAGAAAGCTATAATGTAAACAAATAAAGTGACCAAGACATGAATATATGTGACAAACAAAGCATGTTTAGTGCATGACATACAGTGGGCAGTTAGTGAATATTCGTTGATTGAATGAAGATTTAATAACTGTATAGAGATACCAATATAGATAAACCTGTATCTATAGATATATTTTTATATAGATATAATGGGTAGCATTTATGCCTCTCTCACACTGTCCTGGTTCTTTCAGTTTTACTATAATTGGAAGGAAATCAATAAGCAGTCTACTCTGTTGTGGTTAGAGATAGTATATTCAGAGCTGTCAGTAAAACTTTCTGTAATGATGGGAATGTTCTGTGTTTGTGCTGCCCAGTACAACAGCCACTACCCACATGGCTGTTGAGCACTTGAAAGGTAGGTAGTGGTGCTGAGGAACTGAGTTTTTCATTTATTTAATTTCAATGAATTTAAACTTAAATAGTCACACGAGGCGGGTGGCTACCCCATGGGAAGGCATAGGACATAGATCAGTTGAAGTTCAGGTATTCTCTATGCACCATTTTATCTTATAGTTTCAATATTTCTCCTCTGTTAAACTTTTTGTTAGAAGTTGCTCACCAGTAAGAAAATGGAGTTTAAAAAATTATTCTTTCCTTTCCTTGACTACCACCTAATGCAGGTGCTAATAAACAATGTTGTATCCAAAAGATGGATTGTAGGGGGGAAATCAAAGGACTGGGATGATCCCAATTCAAAGTAAGTGTTACCAGGATAGTTGGGAGTTACTATCTCAAAAGAGAGTTAGCTCTGTAGTACTTTCGACTAGAAATGTTGCCTTTCTGCCTTGTCACTAAACTAATTGAAATGACAGGGTGAATCATTTAAACTCCATGAGGTTCTATTACCTGTACATAAAATAACTATGAAGATATGGCTTTTTCCAGCTTTAACAAGAGAGATTCAGCTGGAAGAAAAGCTCTGTATACATTTCAAAGGTTCTAGGCTTATAGAGAAGGACATCTTTTGTAATATATTCAGGGGATCATTGTTCTATTGCTCTAAGGTTACCAAGTTTCCAGTGCCCATGAAGGTTTGACTAAATGGGTCAAACCTCTCTACTGTGAATTTCTGTGTCTATAATGGTTACAAAAGTAGTCTTTTAGAATACCTGTTTTTTGTAACCAACTTTGAAATCCAAACTAAGGGTGGAAAATAGATTTTTTCGCTGCTTCCAGAAATACTTTAAGGGAAAATAAAAGAACAAGACATCATTTCTAAATTTTAAAGTGATTTATGGAAAGTTTGGTTAGTTCAGAAATACCTGAGGTTATCTAAACAGTTAATCTATTAACTCTGTGAGTGATACAGGTAAATTTAAGGATTACTTAAAGCACTTTGGTTATATCAATTAAGAGCTTGTTAGAATAGCAGCACTGTCTTTTGAGACTTAGTAGAAATATTTGATATCTTTATTATTATATAAGGTAGCAAGAAGAGATTCAAAATGGAGAGAATGTGGGACAGTTCTGAATGTTGTCAAGGCCTAACTAACAGAGTCCTCACTGGAATACTGTGTTCCACCTAAGGATGGATGTTTTTGTGGGACCCAGTAAATGGAATGATTGTTGATTCTTTGTCTAGAGCAGTCATTGGAGCAGCACCCTAGAGTGAAGACTGTAAATGTTAGTGAGACAAATCTCTACTCTTTTCCTCTCCCCTTCCTGCTCTGTATTGTTGTACAGGGCGATGTTGGGCTCGCGATGGGTAAACTGTATGGAAATGACTTCAGCCAAACTACCATCTCTCGCTTTGAAGCCTTGAACCTCAGCTTTAAGAACATGTGCAAGTTAAAGCCACTTTTGGAGAAGTGGCTAAATGATGCAGGTAGGTGAATATGTAAGAAATCTCCTCGTTGTCCATTGGAATTTTACAGGGGGGATTGTTGTATAAATTGGGGTTTATATTTCTTATTGCATTATTGGTACCATAGAACCTTGATGCTCACTAATGTTGGGAGGGTCAATATAAATGATGGCTACATAAATCGGAGATCTAATTCATTTAAATAGTAATTACAATGTACACAATCAGCAATAATTTTTAGCCTTGGAATATTTTTTCTATTTGAGCCCAGGTTAGGGACATTTGAAAGAAGAGGATAAGAAGGCCTATGTATTTAGGTAAACTTGAAAAACAACTTTATTGGTTTTTCTTCGATGAATTATCATAAATTTGTTCCTAATAATATTTCTGCTTTTGTTATTAAGAATGACCACATATTTCATACATAAAAAGTTGAGCTGCTAGTTTTAACTTATGTGTTTTTTGCTGAGGTTTCCTTTGGGAAAATTTGGATTTGGGATCACAGAATCATAGACTGTGAGAGCTGTAAGGAACCACAGAGATCCCCTAGACTATGGCTTTCATTGTAGATGTGCACAAAAATCAGGTATTGGGAAAAGACAAACCTGTAACACCCACTCTTGGACAGTCTGATTCCATAGCTCTGGGTGAGGCCTCGGCATCTGTAATCTTACTGAGTCCATAGGTGAGAACCAGTGGTCTGCTCCCTCCATCTCATTTTACAGGGAGTGGAAGGAAGCTCAGAGAGGTCTGTGCCGTGCCCAGGGTCATTAAACTATTACATGACAAAACCTTGTTTAAACTTGAAAGAAGTGTTTCATTGTTTGTTTGGTTTTGGGGGGATTTTTACCCTAAATTATACTGATAAAATGAGAGGTCATTTACAAGATAAATTTTAGACATTCAGTAATTTCCAAGAAGCTTTCTTCCTTTGATCCCTAAGAGCAAATAAATAAACAAAACCAAAATGTAAGAACAGAACTCAGGAGAAGTAGAGCTGAGTTTAAGGGTAGGAATAGTAAACTTCTGCTTTCTCAGAAACAGAAATCAAAAAGTATTGGTGACAATATAGTTGACCATCCTGAGACAAAGAACACCAGTAAGAGCAGTAGAAAGATCCATGGCAGTGAACAATATTTTAGTGGAGGTTATGAAACCTTTTCATACTTGATTGTAGCTTAAAATATTTTGGTCAGTTTTGTTATTGTTGGTAATATATGTATTATATGTGTGAGTTGTGCTCAGCTAATTTGATTTCTGTGTTTCCTTCTTTCATACAGAGAACCTCTCATCTGATTCGGCTCTCTCCAGCCCAAGTGCCCTGAATTCTCCAGGGCAGGGAATTGAGGGCTTGAACCGTAGGAGGAAGAAACGCACCAGCATAGAGACCAACATCCGTGTGGCCTTAGAGAAGAGTTTCCTGGAGGTTCGTGAGGTTTTTACTTCTCATGTACATGGGATTGTCTGTGTAGTACTAATGTTAGACGCTGTAGATGATAAAAGATGGACTTGTCAGCTTCAGCCCTTATGGGTGCTTATAACATAGTAGAGATAATAAGACAAAGTAAGTTACTGAACATAGGAAATGGAAGCAGACTGCTTCTCTGGAGAGACCAGGAGGACCAGGCTCACATCCATGTGAGCATTCAGTGTAAGAGAGGTAGCAGCTGCTGTAGGATACAGAGGCATCCACAGACAGGGAGAGGTGGGAGGAAAGCACTTCCAGCCGAGGAAATGCACGAGCAAAGGCATCCAGGGAGAAAAACTGTGAGGGGAATCCGGAAACACAAGTTGTTTGGTTTGGCTAAGTTCACTGTATGCCTAGAATAGTAGTGTGGGACTAGAACACTACAGACCTTGAATGTGAGGCTATGGAGTTAAGTTAATTCAACAGATATTTGGCAATTTTTTTTTTTGTACCAGGGAATATCACAATCAAAGCTTTCAACAAAATTTTGACTTATCTAATTCAGAAAAGGCTTGAGCACAGTAGAAGGAGCACTGAATCAGGAGTCCTTATCAGCTCTACCACTTATTAACTGTGTGATTGGTCAAGTTACTTGATTTCTTAATAAAGTCCCTTTATCTGAGAAATACCTACCTTTCCTGTCCCACAGGCTTATTACCTGTCTCACATGGTCCAAACGAGATCATGTGCATGAAGCACTGAGAAAACTCTTAAATTCCTACTAATATATAAAGATTAATAGCCCTTAAAATGAAAAAAAAAATTCAAGAATAACTTATTCTAAGTTAATATGAGTAAATGTAATAAATATATGTTCATTAGAATGTTTTTTGTTAAAAGTGGGCCAGAATGGTCATATATATTACAATTTCATTCTCTGACTTGTCCCTCTCCATTTGTCTATTTATATAATGACATGGTTATGCCAGTAGTTCAAAAAGTTATTCCAGAAGATGATTTTTTCCCCTTTAGAATCAAAAGCCTACCTCGGAAGAGATCACCATGATTGCTGATCAGCTCAATATGGAAAAGGAGGTGATTCGTGTTTGGTTTTGTAACCGCCGCCAGAAAGAAAAAAGAATCAACCCACCAAGCAGCGGTGGGACCAGCAGCTCACCTATCAAAGCAATTTTCCCCAGCCCAACCTCACTGGTAAGGATAAAAATAGGGGAATGCAAGTTCAAGAGCTAATTTTTACAATTTTACAAATGACCTATTACATCAATTTATTTCATAATAGTTAGGAGTTTATTGTATATATATTCATGTTGAATAAATGTATATACAGTCATGCACCACTTAACGACTGGGGTACGTTCTGAGAAATGCATCGTTAGGCAATTTTGTTGCTATGTGAGCATCATAGAGTGTACTTACACAAACTTGGATGGTATAGCCTACTACACACCTAGGCTATATGGTACTAATCTTATGGGAGCACCGTCATATATGCAGTCCATCATTGACCAAAACATTATGCAGCACATAACTGTAAATTTATGTTTTAAATGTTACCAAAGTAATTACATCTCATGCTGTTAACCCAAGAACTTATTGATTTTTTTTTTGGTTCTTTTTGGTTTTTTTGTGAGGAAGATTAGCCCTGAGCTAACATCTGTTGCCAATCCTCCTCTTTTTGCTGAGGAAGATTGGCCCTGGGCTAACATCTGTGCCCATCTTCCTCTGCTTTATATGTGAGATGCCTACCACAGCATAGCTTGATAAGTGGTGCATAGGTCCGCGCCTGAGATCCAAACCCACGAACCTGGGGCCGCTGAAGTAGATCGTGCTAACTTAACCACTACGCCACCGGGCCGGCCCTTGATGTTTTTGTTTAAGAGAACAATTTTAATTCTTTTCTGTTTCTTTGCAGTTCCATTATTCTCTTCTCTGGTGTAGTTTATTAGGTTACTCTGTAACTGTGGGAGTAAATTTGCTGATTTCAGTTACCTAAAAAAATCTTTAGTTGCTTTTTATTCATGTTGGGTCCTAAAGCCTGATGTATAAAACTTACATGACTAAGTGACAGTAAATTCTTAGATAACCTTTAGCCCTGAGCGTGTATTAAAATGATCATCTCAGATCTTCACTCTCAGACACGTGGGCCTTGCACTGATAACCTCATTGAGTAATTTCTGCTGTTTGCATTAGAATAGTATTCCTAGACTGAAGGAACATACAGTGGTCCTGTGACTCCCTTGATCTTTAGGATGATTGTAAATGTGACTCCACATTTCCAAACAGCATTCCAAAGATGGGAGGATTGTTGAGTTTGCATTTCTGATCCTTTCTTATTAATTTGTTTTTATTTTATTTGAGTATCATTCTATACTGGGATGTTTTTCAAACTAAAGTCATCATCAAGAGCACATACTAGTTTGTTAAATGATGACTGTTAAATGGTGGGGCTTTCGTCATAAAGTTCATGAGATAGTTATGAAAATGATAGTCATTAGATACAGTTTTGTTTTATGTAGGTGACTTTTGTGTTTTGGATTTATTTGTACTAGAAGGAAGACAGTATTTTTTACAAAACTGTAGACATATTTTATTTCAAACAGAAACTGTCAGTTTTTGAAAAATTTGCTTCATATTATTTCCTTAATTATCTCATTAAAAACAAAAACAAGACAGTCTTGCTATCACATAGTCAAAAATAAAAGCAGTACAAGAACTCCTGATTCCCTGATCCTGTTAAATAGTTTTCTTGTTTAGATTAAGTTGATGATTAGTATAATGTTTCTTACTGACTTAGAGTATATCTGACCCAACATTATTGAAATTTAGCAGTTTTTTTATTATTTCTTTCTTAAACCTGAGCAAAGCCATTGTATCAGTGAAAAACCATCTTCTAATAGCAACCTTTCAACATATGCCAATTTTCTCAATTCCAAGAACAGAGAATGATTATAAAATCATTTCCTCTTAGGCCCTTTTGTTTTAATTCTATTGTATTTAGAATTTAAAAATTTTTATAGGCAAAATAAGTCTATAATATGGACTTAAATCTTTAAGTTTTGATTTTTAAATGTTTTGCATATTTTCATTTCTGACCTCCAGGTGGCAACCACGCCAAGCCTTGTGACGAGCAGTGCAGCAACTACCCTCACCGTCAATCCAGTCCTCCCTCTAACCAGCGCCACCGTAACCAATCTCTCTGTTACAGGTAAGCAGCAGCCAGGCTGGGCAGCTCTTAGGCATTTAAATGGTAGGCCCATGATAGGTTTCTATAAAAAATATGCCATTAAATTGTGAATTAGAGCTCTAACTAAAGATAAAGTTATATAACCTGAACTCCAAAAAAATCAGGCATAATTAATTTTGTCAGAAAGAGTACTTTTACATAAAGGTGTTCTTATCTTTTTTGTTCTTTCTCACATTAGTCTATCTACTATATTGCTCCCAGAGTTATCTTTCAAAAACACCAACTTTTTTTGAACTCCTCTCCTTAAAAACTTTCAATAGCTGCAGCTTTTTACATTCAGGAGAACATCCAAATTCATCATCAATTCAAAGAAGATGATTTCCGGCCTGGACCTTATCTTCCACTAGTCTTTTCTCCATCCCATCCTCATCAAGCAGGAGAACTCCAGCTGTGCCTCTGTAAACACCTGCATTAGGCTACACTTCTTTCCGATAGCGGTGAAACTACTTCAGCTTAGATAATAATGCTTCCTGGGAATGTTCTTTAGCTTCCCCAGGAAACTATTCATTTCCACCTGCCTATATTATAAATGATTCTATTTTTACACTTTTGTCTTTCCCAATAGACTTTGCACTTCTCAAAAGATCTAAATGTTCTTTTTGAAATTTCAGTGCCTGGCTTAGTGCTTGACACAGTCACTATAAAATGAATAAATATTTTTTTTTCCTTTGGCCTTCTTTAAATAACACATTTCCCAAATACATTTAAAATAATTTAGCATTGTCATCAGAAGTGTCTTAGTGATGCATAATGCATAAAGCTTTCTGTAATTATTCACCAGGTTAATTATGTGCTAGTAAATCATTGGATGGATTTGTGATATTTCACAATCAAGCTTGAATTTAACCTAGAGTTAGAGAATTTAATTTTCTTCTTCAAACACTTTTTTGGCTCTGTGACCTAACCATGGTATAAAAATTAAATAAATGGCTTCATATAGTTATTAAATTTCTAAGTTATTAGAAAATCTCATAATTTTGTTTGTTTATTTACAACAGTACTTCTTGACGTCTTTTGGGTCTTGGACATCTTTGAAAATTTGATGAAAGCTATAAGCTTTTCCCCTCATGAAATAGACATACCCACAATTTTTAGTAAAATATGAGGAGGTTCATAACAACCCCCCATCAGTCCCCACCTCACCAAGGCCATTTGTGGGTGCCTTAGGAGCCTACAGATTCCAAATTAGGAACCTCTGTTTGAGAGTGTGTGATGTTCAGCACTTCAGCTTGATAAGCAAACTGTTGGTGATGGGTTGCTATTGTGTTGGGCACCAGGAACTTGAAATTCCTGCCTTTGGGCAACTTACTGTCTACTCTGACTGCCATCATCCGATAAATTATGAACTGAACTTACCTTCCCAACAAATTTTAAGCATATTATGTTAGGTCTAAAGATCTTTTGCAGAGTTTTTGCAAAAGTTTTGCATCTTTTGCAAAAAGTTTTCTAATAGTTCAGACATTAAGAACAAGTAGCTTTGCAGATCTCCTAAAATGTGGCAAAAGTCTGAAATGGAAGATAATTTTAAGGAGATATACATACTCAAAACTAGCTAAAAATTTTTTTATCAGTTTTTGATGATCCTAACTGACCAATCACATTTTCTTAAACTCAATTACTCAGCCTTCTATGTAGATTTCATTATGACTATTTTCTGAAATATTGGTAACTTTTTATAGAATGCATTTTTTCTTTAATTTATTAAAAAATTTAACATTATAGGAAATTCAAATAGGAAAAACACAATCACAATGAGTACTATTTTTATTTTTCCTTCAAATCTTTTTATATGTAAATATATGTACAATCTAACAGTATTTACAGTGTCCTGCTTTTTTTTACTTAACATCTCACAATAAGTATCTTTCCCTGTTATTATAGTTTTTATATTTCTACTTTTGACTTGCCCATATTATACTGAATGGTTGTACTATAATTTCATTAACATGTCCCTGTGGTACCATCATGGTTAAGTTCTACCTGGGGTGACCAACTTTTCCAGTTTGAGCCCTGCGAATCTTGCATCCCAGGAAACCCCCAGTCTCAAAGCCACGTAACTGGTCTTGCTTGTTCCCTATTGTATCCCTCGTGTCTAGCACACCACCTAGAATGTAAGATACCCAGTAATGAATTATTAAATAAATGAAGTTTTCACTATTATAAATAATGCTGTGATGAACACCTTTGTACATATAGCTTTTTCTTAAAGTTTTTATTTTGACATAATTTAGACTTACAGAAAAGTTGCAAGAATTGTACAAAGAAATCCTAAATCTCTTCCCTCAGATTTTCCAAATGTTAAAATCTTACTGTATTTGCTTTCTTCTTTTTCTCTTTCTGTGTGTATATGTGATTTTTTTCCTGAACTGTTTTAAGAGCAAGTGGCAGACGTGCCCCTTTACCCCTAAACACTTCACTGTGTATTTTCTGAAAAAACAAGCAATTACCATATGTAACCAGAGTGCATTTATCAAAAATCAGGAAATTAATATTGACTCAATACTAATATCTTATAAACAATTCACATCCAGATTTTGCCAATTGTACCAATAATATCCCTTATAGCAAAAAAAAAAAAATCTAGGATGCTGCACTGCATTCAGTTGTTGTGTCTCTTTGATCTCATTTAATTTGGGACAATTTGAGTCTTTGTTTTTATGACATTGATATTTTTGAAGAGTATAGCTATTTTGTAGACTGTCCCTTAATTTGGGTTTATTTGATGTTTCCTCGTGACTGGATTCAGATTATGCAGTGTTGGCAGGAATATCTCAGAAGTGATGTTGAGACCTCCTTTCTGCATGACATGGAGACCGTGCTGTTGATCAGTCCCACCATTGGTGATATGAACTTTGATACTTTTATTAAGTTGGTCTCTGCGAAGTTTTTACTGTGTAGTTACTTTACTCTTTACAGTTAGTAAGTATCTTATGGAGAGTTTCAGATTGTACGGATATCCTCTTGTTCTTCAAACCTTTACCCACTAGTGTCCCTTGATGATTTTTGCCTAGATCTATTATTGTTATGATTCTCAAATAATACCATCATTTCTTCTACATTTATTAGTTGGCTTTCAACTGTAAGGATGAACTTTTCCTTTTACCCTATTTACCTATATCGGTATGGACTCAGACGTTCTTTCTGTATTCAGTAGGTTAGAATCCTATCATTTTTTCTTTTTTTTTTTTTTTGCAGGGAAAGATTCGCCCTGAGCTAACATCTGTTGCCAATCTTCCTCTCTTCCCCCGCGCCTTTTTTTTTCTCTCTGCAAAGCCGTAGTACATAGCTGTATATTCCAGTTGTAGGTCCTTCTAGTTCTACTATGTGAGCTGCCGCCACAGCATGGCAACTGATAGGCGAGTGGTGTGATTCTGTGCACAGGAACCGAAGCCAGGCCGCCGAAGCAGAGCATGCCAAACTGTAACCACTACGCCATCAGGGCTGGCTCCATTTTTTATTTTGAAATGTCCAAATTATCCCAGACTTAGTCAGTGGGAGCCCCTTCAGGGTGGCTCCTGTGCCCTTTTGACATATCCCTAGCATTCTTTGAGTGCTTCCTTATTTTTTGGCATAAGATGTTCAGCCTCATCTTATAGTTTCTCTGCCCCAGGCCTGGAATCAGCCTTTTCTCCAAGGATCCCTAGTTTGTTTTAGTGAGAAAAGGTACTTAGAAACCAAGATCTAGGCACTAGATGTTCTCATTGATACGGTGTTATCGTTGCTTCTAGGGCATCTCAACAGAAATAGATGTGCATACACATATCCATACATCAGTATGTGTGTATAGATCCACACATATATATTTACCTATATACATCCACACACATCTATATGCATTTTTCTTTATCTAGTTACCTACTTATATTAAAATCCACGAGTTCATACTGATATCTCCAGTTCTAGTCACCGTATGGTTCATTCTTTTCTATCCTTACCTCTTTCCATATTTTAACTCCCTTCTTGGTGACAATGAGAAACCTGGCTCCCATTATCAACAATATAGTTACTTAATTGCTCTACCCTATAGTGAAAAGAAAGTAGCTTCAAAATTGCTAAACCATGCCTCTGACAAGAAAAGACCTACTAATTTGAGTGCAATGTTTGTTTAGAGTTCTTGTCTTTAACCTGAAGGCATATAGTCCAAATACTGTGTTCAAAAGTTATTTGGGTTAGTTCTTTTTATACCCTTTTCAGTGTAGTTACATTATGTATTTGAAATTCACTTGAATTTGTTCTGTTTGTATTTAATAGTTTTTTCCCTCCCATCCTTATGATTTTTTTTAAGTGTAGGAGATATTAACATGGTTTCAAAAGTCAGGACTATACACAAAGTTCTCCTCAGAAAAATTTCATTTCCTTCTGTTGTAATTCTTTGGATCCTTTCCATCCCATTGCCACCTGTGCCCTTTCTCCTTCCTATGTTTTGTGTGTTTTTTTTTTTTTTGAACAAATGAGCAGAGCAATGTATATTTTTTTATTTACCCTGGTTTGTTACTTTAAAGGTAACACACTAAAAGGTAACAAACTCCTTTGCACTTTGTTTTTTTCACTTAACAAAATATCCTGAAAATCACTCCACCTTAGTTCATAGAAATCTTCCTTATTCTTTTTTATTGTTGCAGAGTACTCCATCATGTGGATGTTCTATAGTTTACTTAACCCCATTCCTGTTCTATGGGCAATGAGTTTGTTTCCAACACTTTGTAATTACAAACTATGCTGCAGGAGTAACCTTGTATGTATGTATTTTTGTGCTATTGGAAGTGTATCTTTAGGGTAATTTCTAGAAGTAGAATTGCTCAGTCAAAAGGTACACACCTATGTAGTTTTGTTGGCTATTACCAAATTGCCTTCCAAAAGGATTGTACTTATTTCATTCCCACAGACAGTATATGAGAGTGCCAGTTTCCCCGTTGCCTCTCCAGCAGAATGTGTTGTTACACTTTTTAATTTTTGCCAAT